TTCCCTGGGGGTATATACTTCGGAGTGGAATTGCTGGGTCATATGATAACTTTATGTTTAAGTTTTTGAGGAACTATCAATTGTTTTCCACAGCACCTGCACCATTTTACATTCCCGACTACAATGTATAAGGGTTCCATTTTCTCCACATCCTCGCTAACATTTGTTATTCTCTTTTTCTTTATATATATATCTCCCTCCCAGTGGGTAGGATGTGGTATCTCATTTTGGACAACCTATCTCGTCAGTTTGTTTTAACAAAACTGTAGCATACTACACACACATTATACACTTGCTTTTTCCACCTAACAATATATTGTGGAGATGTGTCAGTATGTAAAAAACTGCTTGCTGGCTTTATGGTAACCCATTGCATGAATGTGCAAGCCTGGTACTGGTAAGTTACTTAACTAGTCCCCTACTCATAGGCTGTGCTGTTTTTTCCCAATCTTTTGCTATTACAAACAGTGCTGCCATGACTGCCTCTACATACTCCATTCTCCACATGTAGGAGTTTGTAACGATCATTCCTAAAAGTGGAATTCTAGGTTAAACTGCAGGTGCATTCTTTTAGTTTTACAGATATTGCCAAATTGATTTCCATAGAGAGTGTACCAATTTATACTTGCCAGCAAGGTAGGGACACGTTCTTTAAATGGACCTTGGATCATGAGATCAATTTGTGAAGGAAGATACTGCATTCTTAGTATGGCACTCCTTCGTGGGCCAACTATGGAATCATTTCTTTTGTGGGGCTTAAAGACAAGGGCACGGCTCATAAAGAGCTTTCCTTCCTTAGCAGTTCCCAAGGAAGAGGTAGAACCTGAAGAGGGTTTGTCTTGGGGTCCTATATATCCTCCCTTGGTGGAACAGTGGGCACTCACTGAAGATGCTGGGTAAGATAATCATTTGTTCATTTATTCCTTCAATCAACAAATATTTATTGATAGGCTACTATGTGGTGCCAGGTGCTGAGATGGAATGAAGACAAAATCGGACCAGATACTCCTTTCATTGACGTTTTTGGGCTTTTGAGGGAAGCAGACATTAATACAATTAAGGATAAGGTAACAAATAGTGAGGGAAATATAGATCATGCTACTGGAGCTTATAGCAAGGGTCTGAGGGTCAGCAAAGGGTTCCCAGAGCAAACTTGTTGGAATTGAGATATGGAGGACGAATAAAAGAATAGCTGAAGAGAAGTCTCTTTTTCCTTTGATGGAAAAGTCATCGTTAAAACTAAACAAGGGAGGTAATAATACCTACCTCACAGGTTTGTTACGAGAATTAAGTTAAGTAATATATGTAATGCGTTTAGCAAAATGCTTGGCAAAAGTCAGTTACTTGGTGAATGCTTACTTTGTTCTGCTCTTCCATTCACTCATGGTAAATGTTAAAATTCCAGGTCCCTAAGTAAAGCATTCCCACCCTAGTTATTCCCTACTTTATATTTCTCTACCATCCAGTTCTCTCTCTTCCTCCATTTATGGGCTCCCAAGCACTCCAGGACATTTATCATGGTCTACCTTGGAGGTAATAAGATTAATATCTACCATTTATTTTGATCTTAATCTATACTAGGTACTTTACATCCATTATTTAATTTAATCTTCACAACAATCTTAGTAGACAAGTAAGGACTATTATTACTCCCATTTTATAAATGAAGAAACTGAGGCAAGCAGAGCCCAAGAATAGCTAGAGAATTGCAGAGCAGGATTCACACTCAAGTCTGACTAATTTCTAACCACTACCCCATAGCCTTGGGTCACCGGCTATCTTTTTTAGGTCCTGTTTACCCAATCAGGTGACAAGCCTATTTAGGACAAGACCTGCCTTTAAAACGTTTCAGTAAAATAATAGCTACTATTTATTGAGCATCTATGTGACACAAACTTTACATGCATTATTTCTAATCCTCACAACTCTATGTTTTACATATTATTTTCTGCATTTTACAGATTAGGAAACTAAGGCTTAAAGGGAGTAATTAACTTGGTCAAGGTGGTGGAGACAGGACAAGAATCTTGATTTGGGTAGGCCCAGTACTTACACAGAGATGGTGGTCAATAACATTTGTAGTTGATAGATGGGAAAGCACAGGGTTATATTCACCCAAACCCTGGTTATAATGTGTCATAACCTTTAGACAGTGGCAGTGAATCTGGGGGAGAGGGAGTCGTTGGAGAGGTGCCTGTCTCTTCCTTCCAGCTGTGTGAAAATAAAAATTTAGAGCTCACAACAAGCAGAGCACAAAGAGTTACTGTGGAATTCCTGCGTTCACTCATAGGCTACTAGGAACAAAGTCTGTCCTTGGAAAATTTTGTAGTCGATGATCCAGATAATGTTAACACTGATGTAACATTTTCTATATGTCAGGCACCGTTCTTGGTGCTTCACACAGATCAACTCATTTAATTTCCAGGTAAGCACTATTATTATCCCATATAACAGCTGAGGAAATCGAAGTAAAGTTAAAGGATTTGCCCAAGGCCCCCAGCCAGCAAGAGGCGGTGTTTGGGACACCTGGCAGCGTGATTTCAGAGCTCGAGCCCCTCCTAACAACAGTGCGCGAGAAGAGTCACTGAGTCGAGCTCAAAAGCAGATGAAACTCTAGGACTATAACGACGGACCAAAAATTCCCGCGGGCTGAGTAGAAAAGTACGTTTCAAAGTGCCTGCCAGCACGTCTCTATCGCAACTCTCTCCTTTCCCGGCTCCCCCCTTCCTCCCCGCCAACTGAAGACACAGAGGCCAGAAAGCAGGGGAAAGGTCCCAGCTAGGATTTGGCTCCTCCCTTCCCGCTCTTCAGTCCCTTTCCAGCAGAGCCGGCCAAGCCGTGGGAGCTCCCGGCTTCTCGCCCATACAGCCGGGGCGCTTGACCCGGTCACGCGGAACTGCCAGCCCTAGAGCTCAGTGGACCCGCCTAGAGTCCCTTGCTCCGGAGCTTTGGCCCACTCCCCTCCCCCTCCTCCGGAAGAAGGCGGTGAAACCACCCACAGCCTTCCCTTGCATGGCGGCGTGGATGTTCCCTCCCAGTGGCCTCTCCACTCCCAGTGTCTGATCTGCCATCGGGTGCTCTCACGACAGAACGTCTACATTTCTTTGGTTTGGGGTGGTGCAGGGTACTTAAGTTTCCCAGGCCCTAAATCTGGGCCTAAGGCTGGACTGTGACCTCCTTGCTCTTTGGTTCAATCTGAAAGTATCCTTAAAAATCATCTAGTGGCCACATTTTAGATAAGAAAACCCAGGCCCAGTAAGTTTTTTAAAGTGACTCGTCCATAAGCAGTCAGGCTCGGACACCAGGGGCAGATGAGTATTTCACATTTTCTTAAGTAACATGACACACTTCCACAGAAAGCAGAATTTAACATGATGTAAAAGGGCCTCACTATTCCAGAGAGATGGATGGCAAATTAAACCTCAGGACTTGGAACGGAGCGTGGGAGGTGGCGGCTGGAATCTCGGTACTTGTAGGGTAGGAAGTGAAACAAAGTCGGCTCTGAAGTCCCCGGAATGGAGAAAACTGGCAGCAGGGGGTGGGGTGGGGGTCTGATGCCCTCTGACAATCTGTGCTTTGCTGAACTCTCTGGTGACGAACCCATCCTCCGCTGCCCAGACTCCATCCCACCCAATACGCGGGCCCTGGACTGGGGCGCCTCAGCTGTGTTTTCCACCGACGTGGGGTGGGGGGAAATGAGCTTTCTGATTCCTTCAAAGGTCTCCTACAGCAGGAAGTCAGTGGAAGCTAACACACGCCTACTCCCACCGCCGCCCTCAATGACTCAGAGTCCCACGGGATTTGTTTTTTGAAACAGCTCTGACATCGAACCCCGCGCCCTGCAGGAAAACCCGGACCCCGGCCGGGGGGCGGGCCGGCGGACGTGCGTCGGCGCGAGTGCGTGCGAGCTCGAGTGCGCGTGCGCGGGCCCAGGGGCGGGGCGGGGCCGCAGCTATAAGTAGGTGGCGGGGCCGGCTTCGCTCTGCGTCTTGCTGCGGCCTGAATTTTTGTCTTTCGAGAGTCTTGTAGATTGTGATCTCGCGCTGCTTGTGGGCTGATTTTCCTCCCGACTCCTGCACGACGGGCTGTTAACGGCGAGCGGGCCACTCCCGGTCCTTCCTCCTGGAGGTGAGCGGTCCTATGGGCTTCCCGGACTCTCTGCCCCCGTCCCCTGGGCTGCCTGCTGGGTCGGCCGCCTCTCGTTCCCGGTTTGGGCCTGCCTTCCTCGTCCCGCCCCTACCCAGATTCTTACTCAGCTGTCCCAGCCTTTGCTTTCTCCCGGCGTGGCCCTAACTAGGGTCCAGGTGGCTCACCCCGTGCTCAGCGGTCTTGGGTTAGGCGTCTATGTCATGCCCTCCCAAAGCATCCGCTGTGTGTAGTAACTGCCTCTTTTCTTCCCTGTCACCCCTAGACTGTAAGCCGCATGAGGGCAGGGTTCACGTCTACAGGGCTCCCTGTGGCCCTAGTACCTTCCAGGGTGCCTAACACGTTATGAGTATTCAGGGTGTATTTGTTAAATAGGTAAACTTGATAGGTTTGACTTTGAAAAAGTTAGTGATTAACTCGAACCTGACTGAAATGGGAGGGAAATTTCAAGGTAAGTTGCTTTTTCAAAGGCTTGTTTGTATATCCCACTCCCCTCCACGAAAGGGCTCTGTCTTTATTTCCGGAAGGTTTCTGTTCCCTGGACTGTGGCACAGGGACTGTGCATTGCTCCTGGCAGGAGAGGTAAAAGTTTTAAGGAGTGCACGTGAATTAGTCCAGAAAGCAAGACTGGCCCCGCAGCCGTGGAGTTTAGAGTGTAAATATACTTGGAGTTTCTGCTGTGGAAGAACATCCACTGGTCGCTGTCTCCTTGACTGGCCAGGCCTCTCCCTTAGCTCCGTGGGAAGACAGTCAGGGCCAGGCGCACGCATGTCACAAAAGGCTGTGGATTAACCTCACTTCTCTTTCCTCAGGATCCAGAAGCCTTCCAGAAGCAGAAGGCAACTCTACTGCTCTACACAGGCGTGGGACCCTTTCAGCCATGAAGCATATATTGAACTTGTATCTCTTAGGTGTGGTGCTGACCCTGCTCTCCATCTTCGTTAGACTGATGGAGTCACTGGAGGGCTTACTGGAGAGCCCATCGCCTGGGAGCTCCTGGACCACCAGAAGTCAGCTAGTCAGCACACGGCCGCCAAGGGCCTTCCAGACCATCCATCCAGAGGGGTGTGATAAGACCTCCGTCCACCGGCTGTAACCTTGGAACACTGGCTTAAACGTGTCCAGCCGGGTGTCCCAGTTCCTGGGCAGGCAAGCTCAGCATCAGTGTCATCAGAGAATTAACTGTTACTGGGCCCTTGAAGGGACTCTTCACCTGGAAAAAGAGCCCGTTTAATACACAGATGTGAGTGGGTGGCTTATGGCGGTGGGATGGAGTGATCTCATTCCTCTCCCCTTAGTCAGCCGGATGCCTTGCTGTCCTTGGCAGCGTGGCCCTGACGTCTCTTAAGATGGGGGCTTGTGCTCAACTGCAGCTGTTGGAAGATGGTGGTTTTCAACCCTACTTCCTAAACAACTGCAGAGAGTTCCTTTGGACTTGGGTGTCTTATAGTCAGTTTATTTGGTGTTGGGCTTCTCCTCTTGAGAACTCCTCTGTGTGGATAACAGTTGAAGAGGTGTGTGGGTTGGCTGTAGGGGGAGGGGAGATGGAATATTCGATGTCCAGTTCTCATTGTTTTACATTTTGAAGTCCTTCTTCAACATAGTGTACATTGGTCTGAAGGGGGCAGTCAGATGACAAACCCTTCTCAGGACATAGGCATGTGGCCACCATGTGGCTTAAATGAGTTTTTCTAATGAAATAAAGTTGCATATATATTTCCCATATGTGTCATGTTGACTTCTGCCCTTGAAATTAGTGTTAGGGAAGGGCCTTAATTTGTAGTTTAACATCTTAAAACTTTGGACAGAAAAGTACTTAAACACTGTGTTTAAAACAAGGTAAATAAACTTGAATTTGGAGGCAGGGGCAGTTGCATCTGCCCTGTATCAACCAGTTTTCTGAGCCTAGGCCAAGACTATTGCAGTCCTCTGTTGCCTCTGTCCATCTCCGAAGAAAGAGAGAAGTGATTTCTTCTAGCCCCCTCACCTCAGTCTTTGGGGAAAGAGAATTAACAGTCTAGTAGGCCTTGGCTTTTTTCTTCTGCCCTCTTAACCACCAGGGTGAGTACTCAATTGTGATTGTTCTCTAGGTCAGCTGGTAGAATGTCCCTCTCTCACAGATGATTGTTTCTGCTTTTTCCCAGATCTAAGCAGCTTGGCCTTTCTGCAAAAATGGAGGGTTTTTTTTTCTTGTATCCACCACTCCTTCATCCCTCACCTCATGTTGGAGTGTATTCACTCTTCTGCCTATGGGAATATACGTATCTATTCACACTTTCTTCTTGGTGTGCGCGTTATTTTATGTATGATGAGTTTGATTGACTTCTGCCAAAGGGTAAGACTGGAGCATGGTGTCCTCTGCTGAACCAGTTTTGCTTCCTGAGTGTTCTTAAACTTAATTGTGACTACCCCAGAAGCCAGTGGTTTGGGCATCACTTTTATTTATTCTGCTGTGGTAGTCATTAGTGCTGTCTACCAAGCATTTCCAGCTTCCCGGCTTCTGGGCACCTGGTAACATGGTAGTCCCTGGTCCTTTGTGGTTAGCTGGGCTTTTGTGACTCGTCTTTTGGTAGCATGGTACTCTCAAAAATATAGTTGGCTTTTTATCTCTGATTCCAGGCAATTTCATGTGCCAGTAGCTGTCCTTTTTCTAGACATATTTCTTAAATTTGGTATATTTTCTCATCCTCATGCCTTTCCGACTAGTTTGGGGTATTTCGAACTTTCAGTTGGAGAGCTGCACCTTAAGTCTCTTCCCCAAGCAGTTTAGTTTAATTGAAGTGGTTTATTGGGTGCTGCATCCTTAACGAGGTCTTTGCTCTAAGGTTTCAACAACAGATATGATGGGCATAGCATTGTTTTGATCTTTCCTAGAGTAGGGTGACTACTCGTAGTCTGGCAGAGGGATTTCCCGGGATGCAGGACTTTCAGTGCTAAAACTGGGACAGTCCAAGGCAAACCGGGATGGTTGGTCACCCTACCTACCAAGCTAAGTTTGAGTTGACATCTGTCATTCCAGATATTTCTCAATTTTAACAACTACCAATTAGAGATGAGAAGCAGTTGCTTCTGTGAGTCCTGCAAGCCCATTGACCTCTGTAGTCTCTCTAGATCCCTTATGCCTGCTTGCAAGCTGGCCACTTCTCATCTGAGCTTGTCTTGTGATGCATTGTCAGTGGCAACCAACAGTATCCAATTCATGCTGCTAACACTCTGTTCTGACTCTCCTAACTCATTAGATTAGATAATGTATGTCTTCGAAGTTGCTGCAGACAAGTTTTACCAAATACCTGGCTACTGTATAACATGAGTTGCCATCCTTCCAGCTTCCAGTAAGATCTCTTTGGTGCCCCTAAGTAAGTTAATGTCATATAATCAAGGTTTTTTGTTTTTGAAATATGCAACACTGCTCATCTAGATTCCAGTCTCCATATCAGCCCAGGACACATTAGGTTAGGTTATGCTGCAGCAACAACCCTGAAATCTCAGTAGCTGAAAACAGAACAGTTGCCTAAGGGCGCCTTCCCAGGAAGCACAGCTGGGGCCTAATCAAGGAATATTCACTTCCCCCAGGGAAAGGGGCCTTCACATCTGCTCTGTGGAACATCATAGTCACTAGGCTACTGTGTCTCCCATTCTTCCCCTCCTTCCCTTACTGCCGTTATCCTGTCCCTATTCCATCACTCCGTTAGATGTGTAGGGGCGTAGGGGCACGTGGCCTGTCTTTTTCACTTGTAGATTATCTCGAGCCACTTTCAAAACTGGCATGAAAACTTGTGCATCACTCAGAGGTTCTTGAATTTGAACTTGATGTTGCGGCTGGATGGAATTCTTGGGTTGTGTCCTTTGGGGGAGGTATGGTGAATGTATTCCACCTGCGTGAGGGGATAGTAGTGAGCTGAATCATTATTAACTAGAAGGGTCGTTAATGGTAGTCATTAATGTTCTTCAAATATATTTGCCCTTGCCTTCCAGGCACATAATAGAATTGCATTTCCTGACGCCTTTGTGGTTGGATGGGGCCATGAATTCTGGGCATTGAGTTGTGAGTCAAAGTGACTGTGTCAGTTCTAGGTTGCAGCATTTTAGCACTGCTTCAAAACCCTCCAAAACCCTCTTTTTTCTTCCACCAGTGACCAGCAGTGCTCCAAATGGAACAGTTCCGTTAGTGCAGGTCCTGGAGTGTGCATGCCGTGGAGCAGTGCCCTCAACTGATCCCTGATGAACATACCGTGTAAATGAGAAATAAACCTATGTGGTGTTAAGCTACTGAGGTTTGGGGCTTTTTGTTATTGCAGCATGACTTGGACTATCCTGATACGTTGCTTACAGCACCTACTGGGTGCCGGGCATCAACTAGGATCTCATCACTACCTACCTCAGATAACGTACGTAAGATAGTAGAGGGAGAAACACGTAAACAAATAAGTAATGTTTCACGGTTCTATGATAGAAATATGTGTATAGCACAGTGGGTACATAGTTATTTGCAGGCAGGAGGTAGATGTTAAGGAAAAGCTTCTTAAGAGAATCTGAATTTTTATTTAATTTTAATTTTAATTTTATCTTTTTTTATCTGAGGAAGATTAGCCCTGAGCTGACTTCTGCTGCCATTCCTCCTCTTTTTGCTGAGGAAGACTGGCCCTGAGCTAATATCCATGCCCATCTTCCTCTACTTTATATGTGGGATGCCCACCACAGCATGGCATGACAAGTGGTGCTAGGTCTGCATCCGGAATCTGAACCAGTGAACCGTGGGCTGGCAAAGCTTAGCACAGGAACTCCACTGCACCACGGGCTGACCCCTGCAAGTACAAATTTTAAATCCCTATTATTAGCTTGAGGCCTTAACTCTAGTGCCATCTGGTGGGATCTAAGGAAGAAGGAAATATTTGAAATTCCTTCTGTATGTGAAGGGCTGTGCCTCTAAAGTTTAAGGCAGATAACAGAGTATTAAGGGTTGGAAGAGAGGAACTGGTCTAGCACTGTCTAATAAAAATATAATGCAAGCCACATATATAATTTAAAATTTTCTAATGGTCACATTAAAAAGTCAAAAGGGGGCCAGCCCCATGGCCAAGTGGTTAAAGTTCTGTGTACTTTGCTTTGGTGGCCCAGGTTCACTTGTTGAGATCCCAGGCACGGACCTGCTCCGCTCATCAGCCATGCTGTGGAGGCGTCCCACATAGGAAATAGAGGAAGATTGGTGTGGATGTTAGCTCAGGGCTAGTCTTCCTCACCAAAAAAAAAGAAAAGAAAAGAAACAGGAAAAGGTATTTTTAACATTTTATTTTACCCAGAATATTAAAAATATTTCAACATGTGATCCACATAAAAAGTTATTAATGAGATAGATATTTTACATTCTTTGTTTTTTATAGCAAGCGTGTGTTTGTATTGGTGATTATTTTACACTTACAACACATCTCCATTTGGATTAGTCACATTTCAGTTACTCAATAGTCACATGTGGCTAGTGGCTGCTGTATTGGACAGTGAGGATTTTTTCATTTTACTACAGAGGGAAACTAGGGGATTAGACAATATCATTGAACTAATTGGCAGTCGATTCCCAGTATGCAGCTCTTTTTTCACTATCATCTTGTGATTTTTTTTCTTTTTCAAGAAGTCTTCAAAGTGCAATATAGCAAAATATGTCAGTAATGAGCTTTTTCACCCCTGAGGTAATTCTTATGTGGGCACATGTGAGATTTTTTTTCCTGAGAAAACCTATGTAAAAAAAAAAAAATCATAAAACGGATGTAACTTACAACGTTTGCATGCTGCCTTGCCCATAGACCATCAGTAATGCCCACAGACTTGAATTGCTTCTATGGCAAACGTATACCAACTTAATAACTCATAAGTCATCACTTGAACATGAACTGTTTTTATTATGTTTCCTTTTAAACCTTGTCCTTATACATCAGGCATTTCTGTATTGTAATAGTATGAGTGCAGTTTGGACTCATTTTTCCCATTTTACTTAACATTATGAGATGCAGAATCAAACAATTGATAAAAGCAGGTAGTTTTATGTAATCTGAGAATTCTAAATTGGAGGACATTATATTCATAAGGCTCATTAGAATTAGAATAGTGTGCTAATCCTTAGGTAAGAAGGGACAGGGAAAGTTAAATGTACTATCTTGGCATAAATATGTATAAACATTCTCTAAAAGAATAAACAAGAAAATAACAACAGTGGCTTCATTTTGGGGGAAGGGTGGTGGGACCTTGAGCCGGTTGTCGGGGTGAGAAGGGGACTCTTCACTGTCTCCCTTTTGATACTTTTTTTTTTTTTTAAAGATTGGCACCTGAGCTAACAACTGCTGCCAATCTTTTTATTTTTTTCTGCTTTTTCTCCCAAATCTCCCCACTACATAGTTTTATATTTTAGTTATGGGTCCTTCTAGTTGTGGCATGTGGGATACCACCTCAGCATGGCCTGACAAGCAGTGCCATGTCCGTGCCCAGGATCTGAACCAGCGAAACTCTGGGCCACCGAAGCGGAGCGTGCGAACTTAACCACTTGGCCACGGGGCCCGCCCCCATTTTGATCCTTTTTGATGTTGTTACCTTGTGAATGTATTATTCAAACTTTTGTACTTATTTGTTTATTTTGCTAAGGAAGAACTCGCCCTGAGCTAGCAACTGTTGCCATTGTATGTTGGTCTCTGCCACAGCATGGCTGCCCACCAGCGGTGTAGGTCCACGCCCAGG